CACACACACACACACATACGAATCATCCTTACACAGTTCGGCTCTCCCTCCTCTCCCTCCTCTCCCTCCTCACCCTCCTCCCTCTCTCCTCCACGCACCGCTGGCTTCACTGTTCTCTCCTCCAGACTCAACTCTGACTGTTGCAGGCTCCTGCCTCTTAATGCGCCACACTGATCACTGAGCAGCAGCAGCAGCATCGCTCCGCTAACAGGCGAGGAGGCACCATCAACACCATCTCCTCTCTCCTCCGCGGAGACGTGAGGCTCCTCGCTCACGCAACGTCCGCGGGTTTTTTTGTTGTCAGAGGACGAGGGAGGATAACATTTCACGTCAACACACATGCATGAGCATCATCTGTCATCGCTGCAGCTGAGGGAGAAAAGTCCTGACGTGCGCAGCCAGAGCAGCGGATAGAGCGAGAGGCTTTGAAGCAGATGTTGTGAGAGTGAGGAGGTGAGAGTTGGGTGGAAGGATGGAGGGATGATGGGAGGGATGGAGGCTCCGGCATGAGGCGCAGTTTAAATGGAAGCAGCAGAAGCTTTACTCACCCTGCGGAGCGGAGAGCTGCTCGGACGGTGCAGAGCGAGATCTGTGCGCACTGGGAGCCTGGACACCCAATTTGCAGGTTTCCTCTTCTCTCTCCCTCCCTCCCTCCCTCCCTCTCTCTCTCTCTCACACTCAGTCTTACTCCTGCTTCCCCTTCTTCTACTCTCTGTTCTCCCCCTCTCTCTCACTCCACCTTCCCTCTCCTCCTTTACTTCACTCTGCTCTTTCAGCACTGCGGAGAATCGCTTGAATGGGCTTCGCTGTAGTTTGGGTAAAGGGAGGTGGGACTGGTGTGTGTGTGTGTGTGTGTGTGTGGAGGGGAGGCAGGGGGAGGGAGGAGGGGTACAGTGATGTAGGCTGGAGGGAGAAGAAGACACTCGTGCACGCACACATGCACGAGGTCAGCGTGGAACAGGAGCGTGTTGGCTGGAATTGAGGACGCATTATATCACGCGGGCTGACAGCATGACTGATGCAAACATACAGCAACTATTAAGGTTGTGTAAGTCACTAATGAAGCAAACACACAACCTGGATCTGTTGAGAAGCTGATTCATATTTTATAAATAGTAAAATAACTATAATAACCTGACAGCGGAGAACAAACCAGAGAAAAGACACGAAGGTTGAACAGATTCCGTTTCCATATCAAAAATTAAAAACTGGAAATAAAATCTGTGGACGGCAACGAATTCTCCGCACGACGATTTTAAAATGACAAATGTGATGAAAAAAATTAAAATGTGTTTATTATCGATATCGATGCACATCACACGGAGCTTGATGAGTTTGCGAATATCATTTAACATATTAACGATCATCTCAACACGCTTCTAACATGTCGTTGCAGTCGCTTTATGAGAGAAAGTGATTTGGACCTTTGGACGGACTGGTCCTCTCTCACTGTCGTGAGCTTCTGAGTAACTGCACTTACACGCCCTGACTGCTAGCTCGTTAGCTTGGTCACCGAGAGGGATCCGCTCACGGCACCCTCCGTTATTCAGGAGCACGACGACACGTTTACCAGCTGCGTTTGCCTGAACTTTCAAAATGAGATCTTCAGATGTTCCCGTGCTGTCGCCCATAAAGTTTTCACCGTCCACGCAGACAGTCAGTAGTTTCACCTCTGTCAGAGAAGAACTTATCTTTTACTCTGAATTCAGTGGGAAACACTTCTTTAGTAAAGTTGTATCTTGTACTTTTTAAAGTATATTTAACAGCGTTTAGAAGTTTCTATCAGAAGTCGTCACATCATTAACTCGCTGAGCCGCCAGCTGACTCATGTCAGGACCGGAAAATGACTGAAGATGAAAAATGGAGGAAAGTGAAAGTGAAGGTGCCAAAGATCAATTACCAACCGCCCCCCCCCCCGCCCCCCCTCCAGCCTGTGGCAGTTAATGATTAATTTCAAACTGATGTGGTCCGACTGTCTGAGAAACTAAAACCTGATACAAATATATTATTATTGAGACATTCGATTCAAAGGCTCCGCAGCGTTTCGTCCTCCGTCATTTACAGCGACGACAGCAGACGGCCGAGGCCTGACAGCACTTAACCCCGGCTGACAGCAGCGGCTCGAGAGTTTCCAGTTGAAGTGAGTCCGACTGATCGGACACGACAGATCAATTTCCTACAAATAAGTTAATATACGATGAAAATATTTTTTTTTATCAGGGATTTGTAATTGGTGCCTCGAGGGGCGGGGCTGAACGTCCGAAGCAGAAGAGACGAGGTGCTTCACACTCTACAGGTGTAGTCAGAGATTCAAGATGGAGGAACATAGACTCACCTGAAAACGTTATCGTCCCCTGACGCCACACAGGAGCTGCAGAAACATGACCATGATTCAGGGACAGAAGAAGAAGAAGCAGAAACTTCTAAATTCTAACAACTTGAATCAAGATCAGCGACTTAACTTTTGTTCATTAAGAACATTAAGAGTCAGAGAGGGAACAGGACGTCACATATTTGCAAGTAAAAATGTGTGTGTGTGTGTGTGTGTGTGTG